TGCCTTGGGAAGCTCCATGCAACTACAGATGAAACACAACCCCACGTGACCTGTAGCACTGGAGCTCACAGCAGCTGCTGTGGTAGAAGACTCCAGGAACTCTGTCAGGCCAAGCCTAGAACCGTGTTGTGCCCCAGTACCTCCCATTCCACTCCTCACCTGCTGCTTCTCCCGCTCTTCCTGCTGCTTGAACTCGTCCAGCACGGCCTGGAGACGGGTCTGCAGATACAAACAGGGAGACCACAGTGAACAGTGTGTTCTCAACAGAATGGGTGCTGCTACAATGTGTCAACTGGTGCAGTGACAAGCACCCCCTTATCTCCTCCAGTGTCAAAGATTACTTTGCCTTCACAGGGAAATGCTGGAGTGTGTATGGCCACACCACAGCAATTTTTAACCCAGCAGGCAAAGGCTCCTGGCATCTCCAAATCAGCCTGCTGGATCTGATGGTGATCCAGTGTTAAGTAGGTTTGAAGAGACCCCAGGATAGCTCTCACCTTGAGGGCAAGGTTCTCCACTTTCATGATGAGATCTTCCTGGCGCTTCCTCCTGTCTTGAGTTTCCTGGAGTTTACTTTTCAGGTTGTCAATCTGCTTCTGGATGCCCATGGCTGGAAGGGAGAGTGAGCTCAGACCCAGAGTAGCAGCAGAGCTCGGAAGCACAGCCTGCCGGGCATCCCAACAATTCTGCCATGCTCTGCTGGCCACTCACCGATCTGGTTGGACCCCTCATTCTCCTGCTGCTGCCCATCAGACTCATTCAGCTTGTCCTGCAGTTGTCTCTCCAAGTCTTCCTCGGTGTCCATGATGTTCAGGTCCTCATCATCATGATGATCCCTCTCATCTTCATCCTCACTGCTGCTGCTGATATCATTAAATATCTCCCGCAGTTCATCATGTTCTAGGTGGGGGTAAAAGAGTTAAAACACAGCTCATGACCTGCCAATGCCCTTTGCCTGCCAGGAACCACAACTAGAAATAAAACAGCCTTCCCCACTGCACCTGAGGAGCCATGGCCTTGCTTATGCACTGACATCCCCGGGGAGGAGATGTCCAGGCTGGTGAGTGAACCATGGTTGTCCACTTCTTTTGTTTCATCTTCAGCAATGACTTCCCAGCCTGACAGCAGGAACAGGTGAGTCAAGGGAAAAAGAGGAACTTGGAAGATGCAGTTGTAATGGAAGAGGCTAAAAATGGCAGATGACTGCCACTCCAACTAGTCTGGCCTTGTACCTATGGAAACCCAGGATGAAATATCCCAGACCTCTTCTCTGATGACTTCTCTACTATTTCAGTTCCTTCTCAGTACAACTGCACAGTCCACAAGAAGGTCACCTTGAGGAAACAATAAGCTTTGAACAAGGCAAAGATGAAGCTCCAAAACTTCAGTGCCTCTTGTGTGTTTATCTCCCAGTATTCCACATCCACGCAAAGCTCAACTTGTTCTTTCCAGAACCCCCAGGTCCCACACAGGTCCTGTCCTGTCCTACTCTTGAGCTTTTTTTCCCACTAAAAGGATACGGACACTGACAGCCTCAGCATCAGTGCTCAGGAGACGCTTCACTTCTTTTTCCACATCAGGAGACTCGATATACTGGGCCAGAGAGAGGAAAGAGAACAGAGACACTCTTAAATGCCTGGTGCATGCTTCTGGTGCTGGCCAACTACAATCCTCTGCCTCTGGATAGAGTACTGTTTCAAGGCTTTCTTATCTTCTGCTTTCTGCTCAGAATTTGCTCATATTTAACTGTGAAGTAATTTATGTGCCCCCCCAAAAACAATCCATCTTTTTTGTACCTTGGTAGGTTGAGTGCCCTAACTTTTCTGCTTATACTACATATTTTTTAAGACTTCCTGTGTTTATGCAAAAAGTCCTTGAGGTGTTGACGGTCAACTCAACTCAACTCAACTCCTTCCATCCTACTCAAAAGAAAGCTTCATTTTTCACTTTTAAATTAGTCAGGATTTTTACTGCAGTGATATCAAATCTCTCCTGTGGGCTACAAGAATGTCTCAAGTAATTTGTTTCCCAAATGTCATGCAAAATCACACTCAACCCTGTTCTCAGAAACTGCAAAGGAGAGAAGAACAAGTCTTCCCAGCCTCAGGGTGCTGCATCTCCCCAGCACCTTGCCTGGCTTGTGCATATGCACAGAGACAGTCTCTGTGCTCCATCTGTTGTCACTCCCCCGGCTGAAATGACAGTGGTACTATTTGGGGAAGGGAATGGGCCATGCATAAAGAGAAGATTTAAGCTGGGAAAGCAGGAATGAGTGAAGCCTCATTTCCATGTGAGTCTTTCTTCCTTTCTTCTCTATGAGCTGGAAGACATGTGGTGTGTCAAGGCAGCCACAGGAATGAGGTCCAGCAGTACTCTGCACAGAGGATTTTCCCCTCAGGAGTATAGAATACAGAGGAAGCACCCAAAGAAGTGTTTAAATCTACTATCCAACCATCATCCTCATCTCAGGCAAGGAAAAGTGAACAAATGTTACAAAAACACATAACTTCTGGACAAATCACCATGACAGCTCTAATGTCTCTGCCCTCCTAGCCCGTGGGTATTTCATCTGCCTCTGGGTGAGAAGCAACTCACCTTCTTCTTAGCCGTCTTCCGGAATCGCCGCTTCCGTACATTTTTCAGGGGAAGAGTGACTGTGATAGAGGAAACAGATTTCATGTGTCAGACAGATGGCCCAGTGAGACAAACATGTGTCAGAAGGGAGAAGATCCCTTCTGCAACAGAGAGAGCCGTGGAAAGGAGCAGCAGCACCACCAGTACCTGGCAGCTGTGAGCACCCTGCTCAGATGTGGAGTATTGGGGTGGAGGGGCTTGGCACAGCCTCTACTCACTGCCATGGTTCCATATGAATTTCTTCTCCCTGTCCTTGTCCTTCTTCTTGTTTGCCTTGGGGTCAGTGGTCACAGTTTGCTCTTCCAAAGGTGGGTAGAGATCACCATCCACAGTGCAAACAAGCATCTGGAATCCCCACATGCACACAAGGATGTGAAGGAACAGTGACTGCCTGCTGCATGTTGTGAGCCAAAGGGATTCAGGGGAACAGGGTGTGGGAAACACAGTTGCACCCCCGGCTCAGCTGGATACAGCAGCAGTTAAGCTGTCACAAGGACAATCACATTTCACACTTCAGGAATGAGGTTTCTAAACACCAAGTGGAATGGGGAATTTTAAACTGCTAATACTGTGAGATACAGGAATTGGGTATGTTATAATGGGTGTCCAGTTGCAAAAGTGTACAAGGGTTTTCCTGGAGAGGGGACCAATGAACGAAGCTGTTGGTGCAGGCAAGAAGGACAGCTCATACCTGGCAAATATCTGCTGTCTTGTAGAAGGTTTTCTTGTCAATGGTTTTTAAGCTCTCAATGATGCAGGGCAGATCCACCAGCTTGGCTGCCAGTGGCACCCGGTCCACACGGACAATCCCATGGCGCCCGTCCGCTGGGGACACCCAGGGGACAAGTCAGTGCTGGGGCTCAACAGCCACCCTGGGCAGTACAGCCCTGGGCAGCAGGAACTCCACAGGACAACACATGCAAGTGGCACAGCTTCACCTGTGGACAGGCAGAGGTGCCTGGACCAGATGCCCTGGTCCTGCTCACTCACCATGCAGCTCAATGGTGAGCCTGTCCTTCAGGTTGACATTCCCGGACTGGACTGCTCGCCGCACAGTCGAGGCATATTCCTGAGAAGGGAATTCTTCAGGAGCGGATATGCTTCCTCCAAGAATTACCAAAGGCTTCTGCCCAACCTTCCCAGCTTTAAACACCTGCCATCCACATGCTAGACAACAACTGCAAGACCCACGGTGAGCTGCACCCTCCTCTCAACACCAAGTTAACCTCATGGCTCTGCTATTCCCAGTGCTCTCCATACCCCTGGCATGACACAGCTGTGACAGAGGTGTGAGGTCCCTGACAGAGACACCTGCCAGAGCCCCACAGCACCGTGGGGTTAGAGCTCCCCTCACCAAGCCCTTGTGGTCTCAGCAGGACACAGTCTCAGAGAATCCCAGAATAATGGGGGTTGGAAGAAGAGATCATCCAGCCCAAACCCCCTGCCAAGTCAGGGTCACCCGAAGCAGGTGATACACGTACACATCTGGCTGGGTTTGGGATGTCTCCAGAGAGGGACATTCCACAACCTCCCTGGCCAGTTGTTTCAGTGCTCTGCCACTCTCAATGGAAAGTTCTTCCTCATGGTGAGGTGGAACTTGTGCTTTAGTTTATCATCCTGTCATCCCAGTTTTCTGGGCACCAGAAGAGAGTCTTAGCTTTAAGGACCTAACAAACAGCAACAAGGGCACTTATAGCCACTGCAACTAAACAGCCAGTACTTGTTAAAGCTGTACGCTTACAGAAAGGTCCTCCCAAACCCTCTAGGTTGTCTCTGAGCCTCCTACTCTGAGTGGCAGGAGCACCTCTCTAGGGAAGGCCGTGGAAAATCCGTTCAAAATGTTGGGAACAGGCTACCCAGGCCCCAGAGCACCCAGCCTGCTTCCACATCTCATCCCAGACCCGCAGCTTCCCCACTGCCTTGTTCAAACGCCTCCGGCAGCCGCTGCTGGCCGGCAAGCCGGGCTGAGCTCGGTGTCACCCGATGGGGCCGCGAGGGGACGGGCCGAGCTCTTACCGGCGGCAGCCGCAGCACGAACTGGCTCTCGAGTTCGTGCGGAGCATCGTCCTTGCCCTTGCTCATGCCGCCTCCTCCAGCCCTGCCAGAAATACGCGGTCACCTCGCCCTCGGGAAGGCTCCTGCACGGAGATCCCGGCCCGGGACGGCTGCCAGTGCCTCAGCCTCCCTCAGGCCCGGCCTCAGGCCCGGCCCCGCTCCCGGCCCCGCCCGCCCCGCGGAAGCCGAGCCTGGCGCCCCGCCCCTTCCGCTCCGACCCCGTCCCAGCCCCGCTCCGTCCCCGCTCCGACCCCGTCCCAGCCCCGCTCCTTCCCCGCTCCAGCCCCGCTCCTGCCCCGCTCCTTCCCCGCTCCAGCCCCGCTCCTTCCCCGCTCCAGCTCCGCTCCTGTCCCGCTCCAGCTTCGCTTCGTCCCCGTTCCAGTCCCGTTCCTTCCCGTTCCGTCCCCCCTCCGCCGGCGAGGTGCCGGTGCCCATGGGGGCCGGGTTCGGCGCGGGGCTGGGGCTGGCCCTGGCCTCCAGCGCCTTCATCGGCGGCAGCTTCGTCCTGAAGAAGAAGGGGCTGCTCCGGCTGTGCGGCCGCGCCAGGGCAGGTACGGCCGCTCCCGGGGGCTGCTCCCGCTGGCTCCCCCGAGAATCGTGACCAGGATTGTGTTTGGCTTCATCTCAGGTGTCTCGTTTTTCCTCCGCATTCAGGGCAAGGAGGGCACGCGTACCTGCGAGAGTGGCTTTGGTGGGCAGGGCTGCTGTGCAGTAAGTACCGCGCTCACACTGTGGTAAGGCACGCTTATCATGGGATCACGGAGTGGTTTGCGTTGGTGGAGACCTTAAAGATCATCTCGTTCCAACCCCCTCCCATAGGAACACCTTACTCTAGACCAGGTTGCTCCAAGCCTCGTCCAACCTGGCCTTGAACACTTCCAGGGATTGGGCAGCCCGTTACAGTTCTCCACACTCACAGGGAAGAATTTCTTCCTGGTATCTTATCTAAACCTACTCTCTTTCAGTTTCAACCCATTCTCCCTTGTCCTGTCACTACCCTTGTGAAAAGTCTCTCCCTCTTTCCTGCAGGCTCCCTTCACATTCTGGAAGGCCACAATTAGGTCACTCCAGAGCCTTTCCTCTTAAGAGTGTGGTTGTTTCCAGTCGCTTTCATGTTTTGTTATTACCATTTTTGTTTGACTGCTTGAGTTTTATCCAGGTTTCTGATGATGACGTTGATTTAATTATAACTAAATTAAGTCTTGTGCATTACCAGGTTTCTCTGCTAAGCAGGAGCTGAAGAGCTGGTTTAGCTGGGTTGGGTTAAGTGCTTCTGAAGTGGTCTGCCCTGAGGATGTAGTGATAATGGCACATCCAGTACCGTGTACAGCAATTTCAGCAGCTTTACTTTACATTTTCAATATTAAGAACCAACTATAACTGATTTACCCTTTAAAAAGCTGCAAAAGCTGTTCCAGGCTAAGGAACAGATGTCTTTCAGCTTTGTGGAAATTACGAAAATACTTTCCTGTGGTTGCTGCTCACTGTAGAGGCACATGTGACTAAGGATCACTGTGCAGAACACTGAGCCTTCTCTTCCCAACACAACCTGTGGGGCTTCTGCTGGTTCTTGTTGGTGCTGTTCTTCCCTGGTTGCTCAATATACCTCAGAGAAACAGGATGCTCAGGAGGAAACTGAGGCTTTTCTGACTACACTCAAACTTGTATTATGGTGAATTGCTCCCACTTTGATGCTCACAGGAGTTTCTCTTGCAGTGGGAGTTGGAGAAGCTGCAAATTTTGCTGCCTATGCCTTTGCCCCTGCAACACTGGTAACTCCACTGGGTGCTCTGAGTGTCCTTGTCAGGTAAGCAGCTTGAGAAACAGCCTCACTTCACCTGCCAGCCCTTAGTGATGAAAGCAGTTGCTCTCCTCTCTTCCCTTAGGTATCCATTTCTTGTCCTAATTGATGATTTGATTTTCAATTTATTTTGATTTAAAATTTGATTTTTAATTGCAGTTTTGATGGGTTTTTTGTTTGTTGTTTTTGTTTGTTTGTTTTGGTTTTGTTTGTTGCCTTTTTAGTGCAGTTCTGTCTTCCATCTTCCTGAATGAGCAGCTGAATGTTCATGGGAAGATTGGCTGTATCCTGAGTATCCTGGGCTCCACTGTGATGGTGATACATGCTCCACAGGAAGAAGAGGTTTCCAGCCTGGAGTCAATGGCAGAGAAACTGAAAGATCCAGGTACTAAAATAAAAGGATTCCTGTTTACTTCAGGCTAGTGACATTAGAAGGTGGGATACAACTTGGATAGATTGGAAAGGACTGAACTAAATGGTAATTGAGCTGTTTCTGTTCTCCACACACCACTGGAATCATTAATAGTTACCAAGTGGACTGTTTTTTTTTACTGTCTGTGAGGTATAATGCAAAAAGTGCGGAAATGAGGTGCAGCTGTCAGCAGAAGGGATTGGTCTGTGGCAGTACCAGGAATTGTAGAGGGAATTCCTGTACCTAAGGGTGATAGTGGTGTGGCTGAGAGAAGACAGAAGAGGAAATTCAGGCAGAAGAATTTAAGGCAAAAGAATTCAAGGAGTTATGCCCAAGATCAGGTAGTCCTGGTATTTATGTTAGAAGATGAATCAAGTCACAAGGATATGATGTAGGAAATAGCACAAATGGCAGAATAAGCCAAAGGAGATGGAGGAAGGAAGTGTAAGAAGAGAAAAGCAGAGTAACAGGTAGATGTTGCTGCTCTTTGGGGGGAGCACTGGCAGGGTACTCCTGTGATGTGGCCCTTTTTCATCCCACCAGTCTGCAGAGTCCAGCCATGGCTTCCCAAGCCTTCTGTCATCTTCCTGGGCCTCCTGCTGGACTGGTCAAAAGCCCCCCAGCTCTGCTAGTGCTCTGGAGCCTGGCTGTGTGCCTGCCCCTCCCAGCAGACTGTATCCCCAACAGCCTGCCTTGTGATGACCCTGTCATGAGCTGCTGTTGTCTCTGCAGCTTTGCTCAGGCTTTCCAGCTCTGTTCCCTTCAGATGGAGGCCAGAAAGGCTGATGGGGCAGTTACCTGCCTGTCCTCCATCTCTACTTGCTCTTCAGTCATATGTCACTGGTGCTGCTGTGTTCTGATGGGAGTTCTTGAATTTTTCTTTCCCCAAGGATTCATTGTATTTGCTCTGTGTGTCCTGGTGAGCTCCCTTCTGCTCATCTTTGTGGCTGGGCCCCGTTATGGACAGAGCAATGTCCTGGTTTATGTTCTGGTCTGCTCTGCCATTGGCTCACTGTCCGTATCCTGCGTCAAAGGCCTGGGGATCGCCCTGAAGGAATTGTTCTCTGGGAAGCCAGTCCTGAAGGAACCCCTGGGCTGGGTGCTCCTGGTGTGCCTGGTGATCTGCATCAGCATCCAGATCAACTATCTGAACAAAGCCCTGGACATTTTCAACACCTCAGTGGTCACACCCATATATTATGTGCTGTTCACCACAGCAGTCATGATGTGCTCAGCCATCCTCTTCAAGGAGTGGCAGCACATGGTACTGGACAACATCATCGGCTCCATCAGCGGCTTCCTCACCATTGTGTCCGGCATCTTCCTCCTGCACGCCTTCAGGGACATGCCCTTCACCCCCAACCTCCTGCCCCTGTTCCTGCAGCCAGGCAGGGCAGACCCACACCCATCCTGGAGCAGTGCAGACAGACATCAGTCCTGTCAGCACCAGCCTCTGCTGCCCTCGCAGGACAAGGGCTCTCAGAGTGCAGAGGAGGAGGAGGAGAAGTGAAAGCAGGTGAGGAAGCATCTGAACTGCTCCCACTGCCAAGGCTGAACATGCTGCTGCAGGAGCTGTGAGCTACCTTCTGCGTGCCCCAGGTACCACCCCACTGACAGGAGGCTGACAGGGCCAGCAGCCTCCTGTGGCTGCAGACAGGAGCCTTGGGAACTGCCCAGTTCCTGGCAGCCTGTGCTTCTCCACTGTTCTTTTATGTGAAGAACTGATCTGCCCTCATCAGGACTCAGACCTCGGCTGTGCAAATAGAGGCCTGCAGCACTAACACAGTGCTAACCCTGACTCCACGGCAGGTCACACATCTGGGGAGTATCACACTTTTTTAAAACCAGAATTAACAGTTACAAAATAATTTAACATGGTGCTAAGGTTACATGGAGAGAAGATGGATGTCTGGCTTTAAAGGTGACATACAGAGAGTATTAATGCAAAAATTCCTCTGTCAAGTACTTGGTTTTGCTCACTCTGCTAGAATTTATTTACAGATTCACATCCAAAAACAGAATACAGCCCAAACTGGGAAACTTCAGTGGTGCTGCCACATGCTGCTGTGGCTCTTACAGAGGGACCAACCTCTTCATGCAACGTCTGCTGTGCAGGTTGATGAAGCTTCCTGTATTCTATTAAAAACTGATCTCTTCAGTTACCAAGTGCTAAGTGATACATTTATACCAAGAGCTGGGTGAACACTGGAAGGCATGGAGGATCACAAGGGTAGGAAGAATTCTGTCAGTGCTCCAGAGAAACTCCAGTTAGGAGAGGAGAGGGAGTTACCTACTCTGGGAACCTAGTCCTTAGCTATTGAGGTAAGTTTCTGACCGATAACTAGACAGCTGTGTCCTTACTGACACAGGTTTACATCTGCATAGCTGCTGAACATCCTGAGCTTTTTCCCAGGAAGGCTGCTGGCTACAAGCCACCCACATTAGGAGCTCACACGCTCTGTCCAGCAGCCCTGCAGTGGGTCAGTGTGCAGAACTGCTTTACCAGGCAGTAAATCATCACAGCTCTCCTGTGTAGAGCTCCACTGTCAGTGTCATTCCAGGCTTCCCAGAGCCCTGCAGCATATGAGCACTGCTGAAATGCTGCTGCCTTCCCAGAGAGCTGATCAGTAGTTGGTTGTTTTTCCAGTTTGAAGCTCCTCTTTGTGTCCTGGGGGCAGAAGACACACCCACAGGCCTCCCACCAGTGACCTCCACAGGTGAAGGAGCACCAGGTTATAAAGCAGGTGGTTAGCTATTCCCTACATTTAGTCTCTCTAAAGAAACGACTCTCCAGGACAGCAGGAACTGTTAACCTTTTGGGGAAGAAGAGGAAAGGCCACAGCCTCTCCCAGAAACAAATTTGATTCATGAGATCAAATTAATTGAGCAACGAATCAGAATTCAAAAAAGGCCTGCTAGCCAAAAGACAGTTATGCCCCCTTCCTACTAATTTTGCCATAAATAGTGTCACTGGGAAGAAGGGGGAGTGACAAGAAGGCCAGATTTTCCATTCTCAGCAGTGATATATCTGAAAAAAAGGAGAATCTCATATTAAAAATTGACCCAGTTATTATTTATTACATTTACCCAGGGAAAGCAGTTAATGGAGCAAGTCAGCATTGACAGAGTTGTGCTGCAGTGTGAAAATTGGTCACTTGGTCATATGAATGATTTACCTATGGAAGCCTGGAAGTATTTTCCAGCAGTGGCACTGGCTGGGATGATCACTGTTCCCAACATGCTCTTCTTGCTCAGGGTGCCTGTCCCAGCCTGTGCAGCGCAGCGATGGTGCCCGGGGGCAGGTGAGGATGTGCCCAGGAGGGCTGGTTTGTGCAGCACTGTTTAAGGCAGCAACCGTGGGCTGGCCTCACCCAGAGCCCAGCTTCCCATCAGCGCTGGGAGCATCTGTGAAACGAGCACGAGCACCAGCACCCCTCTGCTCAGCCCAGGGGGCACATTCCAAATGCTCCCTGCGTGGCACCGCGGTCCTGGCACAAAGGCGGCCGCTGGCCCGCGGGGCCGGGAGCAGCACATCACCCCGACGTGGAGCATCCTTGTGTCTGTTGTGGGCTCTCATCTGGCTGCAACTTCCCCGAGACTGGCATTTAATTAAATCCTAACCCGCCCCCCGAGCTGATCCTGCCTCTTTCGAGCAGCGGAGTGACCAGGAGTGGGCATGGGCGAGGGCCTGGCCTGGCGGGGGCTGGGTCCGGCTCAGTCGGACAGGCTCTCCGAGAAGGCCGACTTGGACTTCTGCGTCTGCTCCAGCCGGTTCAGGATGAACTGGCTCGTGTCGATGAAGCGCTCCACGCAGTTCACGAAGCACGTCTCAGCCCGGCTGTCCAGCTTGGGGCCCGGCTTGTCCATGCACTTCTCCTGCACACAGCGGGGTCCCGTTGGTCCCGGGAGCACCGCAGCCCGACCCTCCCACCCGCACCGGGCCCTGCCTCTGGGCATCTCCAGCCCTCGGACACGCTCCCCCCACCTGGAGATCCCGATCCTCTCGGGACCCTCGGGCGCATCTGAGCCGTCCCCACGCGTGGCTCTCCCGCCCCGCCGTGCCCGGAGAGCCGTCCCCTCCCGCCCTGTGCTCACCGGAGCTGGGGCTGCTCCCACGGCGGCTCCATTTTGTCCCCATCAGCCTCCTCCCCCCGGGGACAAAGGTCTGCGCGGCCTCCCAGCCCGCCTCGCCCCACCATCGCGACCGGGTCACCGGAGCCGGCGGCCCTGCCCGCCGCCCGTACCCAGCAGAGCTCGGTCATCTGGTGCACCAGCTGCTGGAAGCGCTGCTTCTGCGTCTCCACCTCGATGAAGCGCTGGAGCTGGGGGTCGGCCCCGCCCAGCCCGGCGGCGGACGGCGCGTCCATGGCGCTGCCGGTGTCCCCCCGGGCCCTCCCGGTGCCGCCGCGCCGCGACCTTCACGTGCCGCCGGTGCCGCGCCCGCCCCTTCCGCCCGCGCCGCGCCTGCGCGCCCGCCCGCCCGCGCCCCCTGCCGGCGGGGCGGAGCGGCCGCAGCCGGGAGGCCGTGGAATGGTTTATTGTCCGGGAACGCACCGGAGCGGGACCCCCCCGGAGCGGTGGGGCCACGGGCTGTGATGGGGCACCGGGGATGTGACGGGACTCCGGGCTGTGATGGGGCTCCGGGGATGTGATGGAGGTCTGGGGTGTGATGGGAGTTCCGGGGATGTGATGGAGCTCCAGGGCGGTGATAGAGTTCCAGAGATGTGATGAAGCTCTGAGCCTGTGATAGAGCTGAGACATGGCCGTGGGGGTCCCCCAGGCTTCTGCACGCCCATGCTGTGTCTGTGACAACCGTGCCACGGTACCAGCCGTGTGTGGGTCTGTCCTGCTGGGCAATGGCAGCGCTGGGCAGGGGTCAGCAGGCAGGACCCATGGTCAGCATTCCTCATCGGCGATGTCCAGGATGCTGCCCAGCAGCGTGCTGAAGGTGGGGCGCTCCTCAGGCTTCTGTGGGGTGAGAGGGGAGCCTGGCTGGAGCCCGTGTCTGCCCCAGCTACACGAGGGTGGCTGGAGGTGGCACCGGGGGTGAAAGCCACTCACCTCATGCCAGCAGCTGTACATGATGGCATAGACCCGCTCTGAAGCCGCCTGCGGCCGGTACAGGCGCAGGCCTTGGATGACGTGCTCGGTTGTCTCGCTGTTATTAAACCTCTCGTAAGGCATCTTTCCCAGGGAGTAAACTTCCCACATCAAGACGCCTGTTGGGGGGAACAGCAGGGAGAGCTCATGGCATGGGAGCACCTGTGCGTGCACCTGGTTGGCAAAGCAGTTCCCAACCTCCAAATCATCAATGCTGTGCTCTTACCAAAGGACCAGACGTCAGACTTGCTGCTGAACTTGCTGTACAGCAGCACTTCAGGAGGAGACCACCGCACTGGAAACTTGGACCCCATGGAGCTTGTGTACTCATCATCTAGCACGTACCTGCAGCAGGAAAATGGGTCAGGGTGCCTCACTTGGACTTCACGTTTTGCTCCTCCACACAACTGACCAAGCCCAAAAGGAATGGGCAGCTCAGAATGATCAGAGGCTGCAGCTCTGCATGGGTTTCAGCAGTAAGTGTGTGTTAGTCAGGATTGCAGAAGAGATTGGCTGACATGGAAGCACAGCAAAAGGGGGATGTGGAGAGAAATCTGCAGCCAGGAGACTGGAGGTAGGGGAAACAAGATGCAAAGAGAGGGGGGAAAGGGAGCAGGGGAAGTAAGAAAGGGATGGTGGAAAGTGGAGAAGAAGTTTAAGCCACGCAGATGAAATGGGAAGACAATGGGAAAGCAGAGCTGGAGGGTGGTATGGGCAAAGACTAAAGTATAGAATTGATGGAAGGAGGAGATGGATTACTGAGACAGACACAGCAAAGTGACACAGACACATTTACCAGACCTGGAAAGACCAAAATCTGACACTTTCACAATTCCTTGGTCATTCACCAAACAGTTTCGAGCAGCCTGTGAATAGAGAGGTGGAGGCAGTTACTTCTACCTGCTCTTGCCTCTTCCATCCCCCTGTAGCAGGTGAACTTCATCTCATCCCCACCCACTGAACACTTGACCTCACTTTGTCCTGCAAGTACACCTGGACTGGGGCAAGCTAGAAAGTCCTCAGCAGAGAGCAACCGAGGCCTCCAAGCATCCTATTTATCTGTGTAGGGGCGACTTCCCCAGTGGGATTTTGCCTGAAGAAAGCAGCCACAGCCCTACCAGGTCTCTGTGCAGGAACTGCTTGGATTCCAGGTACTCCATAGCTTCACAGACATCCTTGCACATCTCCAGCAGCTCAGCAGGCTGGAACCGCTGCCGTGTTTCCCTCAGGAAGTTCAGGAGGCAACCATTGGCCATGTACTCAGTGATGATGAAGATGGGACGCTGCTTAGTGCAGACCCCGTAGAGCTGCACCAGCTTCTCGTGAGACAGGTTCCTGTGTTGGGGACAAAGGCAATTCTGAGCATCTAGAAAGCCAGGCAGCAAAGGAAGTACCTGTGAATAAGGAGAGTTTGGGAAGAGAAGGTGCTTCTGGCCCAGCTGACAGTGGAAAACCAAGGAATCAGCAACAAAATTAGTGGGATTTTGGATGCATTTTGCAGAATATGGGATTGCCCAAGACTGTCCCTCCACACCTCCCAGGAGTGCAGCCATTCTGGCAAGGAGCATCTAGCACTGACCTGCACAGTGCTCACCACTTACATCATGACTTTGGCCTCATCAATAAACTCGTCCTCTGACATGGAGCCCTCCCTGATCATCTTGATGGCAACGTTGTACTGGCCTCTCCATTTCCCGTACTTCACCACGCCAAACTGCCCCGTCCCGAGTTCCTTCAGGAAGGTCAGATCCTTGGGGTCAATCTCCCACGACCCTAGGACAGAGAGTGTGAGTGTCATGTGGGTGCAGGTTGCCTCCCTGCATGGTGCTCACAGTCATCTGGTGTAGCAAGCCCAAGAAAAGCTCACAAGCATTTTCTGCCTGAAAATTCATCCACAGAATCAGAGACCTGCTACTCTAGGGAATGGGAGCAAGGTACCTTGTGGAGTCTTTGGTCAATACTGTCACCAGAGGGCAGTTGGGAAATGGTTCCAGGGAAGGCTATGAGCCATGGGACAGCCAGGATCCCAGCCTGGGAAAGTTGCTGCCAGCAGGAACAAACCTGCAACCAGGCAACTGTGAGGTGGCCCAGACTGGCTTACCATAGCCAAGGCCAGCTGTGGAAGGAGCACTCTTCTTGTGCTGAGACACAGGGTACTTCAGTCTGGATATGAGCCCTGAAACACAGCAGCAGATTGCCACTCTAGGCTTACCTGCACATTCCAGCAGGGAACACAGTTCCTGCCTTCGGCACAGGAAGGTGGGGATACTGCAGTGCCAGTGAAAACACTGCTGGCTCCACACTGGCTCCAGAACGCTGACCTGCAGAGTTGTGCTGGTGGTAGGTGATAAGCTCTGGGATGCTGTTGAACAGGTGTTTTTCTGCCAGGTAATACTGATTCTGGGGGGTGCAGCAGACGACATAGTGGCGGATCGTGCCTTGGGGGTCTCTGGAGAGGGAGAACTTGAGGTCAGTGCCATGGGGAAGAAGGGCAGGGGGTGAGAGGTACCCGTCTGAGGGAGGAAGAAGCTGTTCTTAGAGCCACTTACGCAGAGGACTTGGCATAGACAGAGACAGTGTATTTCCCTGTCTTGCTGGTGGAATCTCGGACAATGAAGCCCCCTTCCTTACCCTAAAACAGAAAGGGAAAGGGCACTAGGTGGTTGTGGGGACTGTGTGTGACTGTAACAGGCAAAACTTAAAGTGAGTGAAGATCACTCATGGCTGGAGAGGATGCAGTGTGTCCTACTTCCAATCCCTGCATGGGAGGCAATCTCTTGAACTGGCTGCCTGAAGGAGGTGACATTGGGATAGGGAAGGTTCCTGGGGCTGTTGGGGAAATATTCCTCTCCCAGAAAAACCAGGGTTGGTGCCATGCTGGACATAATGTGAGAACAGCCCATGGAGGGCTGGTGTGTAGACCAGACCCAGCCTCAGGAGGCAACACTTACCTCCTGTTTCAGCAGTTGCTCCGCCTGGCTCCGAGTGATATTCTTTGAGTACCACCTGGAACATGGACACAGCCATCAGGGAGATCTCCACAGCCCAGTCTGACCCTGGCCCAGCCAGGCAGTGCAGAGAGCAGGGCAGGGATGGCTGCTAGGGGCTGGAGGCTGTCAGAGAAGGTGGAAGAGGGAGAATGACCCAGCCAGGCTGGGCTCATGGGCTGTGCAGGGGTAACAACCAGATGGAAAATGTCTCCAACCAAGTGCAACTTGCCAGGTCCCTGTGCCCTCTCTTACTCAAAGATCTCCAGGGAATTTCTGGTTTCAGTGACGTAGTTGCTGGGGATGTATCCTTCCCTCCTGCAGGAGAAAAGGGGCTGGTCACACTCTGATGGAGGAGGCCAAGGGGAAAGGATATCCTCGTCTCAGGAGGCTGAGTAGAAGTGGGTTCAAAACCTGGTGCAAACCCATCTGGGGAGGACTGACATCCCATCTGGCTTCAGCCTCCTCCCCTGGGCAGCCCGCAGGTGGGCAGGCAGCCAGTCCTCACCCTTGGGGTGCCAGAGGGGTGTGTTTGCCCACCAGTGCCTGAGCACCAGGGCAGGGCAGTGCTGCAGAGCCATGGCCATGGGCAGTGGGAGCTCTCACCCATTCTTGTCAAGGGCTTTCCACCAGGGCAGGTGGCTCTCCTCCAGGATGAAGTACTCCTCGCCCTTCTGCAGCTGCAGGTCCTGTGCGTTCATTGGCTCGTAGTTGTAGAGGGCCACCACCTTCTTCATCTCCCCTGCTGTGCTGGGGGCTGGCTTGGGAGGCACAGGCTTCATCACCATCTTCCCACAGGGAGAGGGAGAGCGTGGGACATGGTCAGGCTTGCACACACACCACGTGAGACCCTTCCCAAGCCTGGCAGGGCAGAGGTCTCAGGCAAGGTCAGCACAGTGTTTGTCTCAGCTCCCACATGTATCTCTACCAGAACACCAATTTTGTCTCCCTGGACTTTTTATCAAAACATTTTTCCCCATCTCCACAAAAGATAAGTGTTTTCTCTTTACCTTTTGGCTTAACCAGTGAGTCCTACATCAACTGATGTAGACTGGACGAGTCACAGGTTAAGCCAAAAGGTCTCTCTCAGCTGTCCTGGGAAGCCTTAGGGTTGAGATCATTTGACTTTGCTATTGGCCTTTGGGCTCCATCCCCTGCTTCAAGCTCCTTTTCCCTTAGGTCACCCCATGACAGTCACCATCTTGACATCCCTCCCCAGAGCAGAGTCCTGGCCTGTACACCTCTCAGCAGTCATTGATCATGTTGGCTTTCTCCAGGTAGACCTTTTCTCCAGCACCTTGGAGCAAACCCTAACGCTGGTCTTTACCTGGTCCTCCTCAGGAGTTGGGGGAAGGGGCTTCTTTGTCTTGCGATGTGACCGCCCGACTTTTAAACCTTCAGAACAGAGGAGAGGCTAGGGTGAGAAAAGATCCCGGTCCCTGCCTGTGGGTGCCCCCCCAGGGCAGGGGGATGAGGGTGCCTGGTGTCTTACTGCCATTCCTGCTCTCCAGAATCTGGCAGCCCATGGCATTCTTGGCTGTCTGGGAGCAGCACAGGTACTGGCCATCGATCCAGAAGCAGGGGTGGTACTTCTGGACCAGGTCGCTGTTGTACCGAATCACTGTGGCAGAGGAGGAAGATGTGTGTGAGCCAGCCTGCTGCAAGAGTGCTCTGCTCCCTGAATGCAAGTGGTCAGCTGCATTAAATAATTTCCTCTCAGCTGTGCTGCTGTTCCTTGTCCCCTGATGTTCAGATTTCCCTCAGCTTACCACTCTTGTTTCAGTGCTGTGGCTATGCAATCCCTGTGCCACAGGGAAGGGCCAGGCTTGGCTCTCAGATCTGATTTAAGCTCTTGAGCAGCTCTGCAGAGGGGCATGAGCGCACTTGGAGCCAGTAACAGAAGGACTCCTGCTAGCCCAAATATCCAATAACCCCCAGGCTGCTCTGGCCTATGGTTGACAGCTCTTTTGAGCCCTTTTTTTCCAGAAGTGGGGTGGGAGGCCAGTGCTGTGCCTGGCTTTTCCATGGGGAGAGGAGGGCACTGCCACCACACTGTGCCTGCTCAGAGACTTCCCCTGCAGAGAGAATATTCCCCTGCCAAGCAGTTTCCTCATGCTTGTCCCCAAGCTAGAGGGACAACTGGATGTGCCTAAACACTGCCAACAGCCTGGGGCTGGCCCACAGCAGCTGCACGGGGTGCAGAGAGCCTGTTTTCTGGTGGACTAAGAGGAGGACATCTCGTCAGCAAAAAGGCAGCATTTTGTCTCTCTTCCTTGTGGATTCTACACTGGCTTGAGCTGCCAGAGCAGCCCTGCTCCCTCAGCAGGGAAGTGGGGAGAGGACTGGCTGCTCTGCTGGGGCTCTTGTGAGATAAGCGACTTCCCCGTTATCGGCCTGCCCCTCTTCCGCCTCGCTCGAGCTGACTTCCCCGTGTCAACTCAAGCAGCTAATCCCACCCTGCCAGCACAAAGCCACGGAAAGACACACACACACGCACCAGGAGGCATGTACAGGCGGCTCCAGCTGATTTTGGGTGGTTGGAGCCCCTTGGCACAGTGCTGGTGCAACACATTCCCAGCTCCAGGAGGGAGCACCCACCCAGCTGAGTATTAGCCCAGCATCACTGAGCAAGGCTCGGGGTGGTTTGGAAGAGATGCACACTGGTTCCCAGCAAGCTTGTTGTCCATGTTTCCTAAAGCACTGGGCACTCAGCCCTCACATGCCAAGGCAGCAGGGCTGTATGGCCACAATTGCTATTTCCTCTTGCCCTCAATGATTTCTGAGCCTGCTTGAGCCACTTTGGAGCAGGTTTGTGAGAGGGCAAGGAGCCTCAGCCATGGTGCTGCAGAGGGCAACAGTGCCCACCTGCCCTGGGCAGGAGCAGCTCGCTCTTCCTCAGGCATGGGATAGGTAACCATGAGCCAGCAAGCTGCTGGGAGCCTGGCACTGTGGGTCAGGCACAGCTTCCCAAAGGAGCTGCAGAACCCCTGCACTCACCACTCTTCAGCTGATGGATCCAGCGCTTGCGCAACTCCTCTGTGGGCGAGAAGATGTAGAGGGGCCCTTCATCGTAGACCACCTGCAGGACCACGAACCTCAGTACCGCGGGCAGAGCTGGCTGCCAGGGGGGAACCGAGCCTTTTGGCCACCCTGAGCCCTACTGGTGTCTGCTGGCCCCGCATGGTGCTCGGTGCTCGAGGGACCGTGACAAAGAGGTTAAAAATAAGCCCCCTCCCCCGAGACTTTCCACTTCCTTCTCTGACTTTCGGTGTGCCGGGGGTGCACTGGGTGCCAGCAGGGCAGGCAGCTGGGCTGGGGGCTGAGTGTGCAGCCAGCATCCCTCCAACATCAGCCAGGGGACTGAAAGGGGCAGGACAGAGCTCTGAAGCAGGTTTCCATCTTAAACAGAGCTCGGGGCTCAAAGAGGTTCACCTGGCTGCCCCATGCAGTGTGGACAGCAGCAGAGTGTCTCCAGGTAGTTGAGTGACACCTGGCACTGGGGCAGTGATGCCGTGTTTGATCCCAGGCCCCTGTGGGGTCCTCCCCTCACGACCTGCTGCCAGGCAGAGTAGATCAGCAGAGGCTGCAGCGAAAACTCACCTGGAAGGGGTAGGGGAATCTTTCGATGATTGAGATCTGCTCCATGTTGTTGTAATCCTCCCCTTTCCTCTGGAAGAGAGAGGCAGAGATGGATGCTGGCATCCTGTTGCTCAGCTGCTGGCATCTCCTCTGGAGCAAGACCACAGCTATTGGCATCCTCCTGCTCTGCATCAAGCTGGACCCCTGATATGGTAAGGACAGAGGCCCCCACTCCCAGTAGGGCTGTCCCCCACTGCCACCACCCCAGGGACTCTCCCTACTCCCCCAGCGAGGGGACAGTTGCAGGGACCCTGGGACCCTCCTCACCGGGACCTGTCGCTCAGGGGGAGGGTTGTTTTCAGGTGCCACTGTCTCCACACAGGTGATCTTCTCAATGTCCACGGAGCCCTTCTTACTGCCCCGGCGCTGCAAGAGACACTCTTAGTTCAAATAGTCACCATGTGGAGACCCAGAGAGACTCAAACTGACCCCCCTCCCTGTCCAACCAGCCTTGGGCTACGTGCTGGCATGGGACAGTGAGTGACCCCTGGACACTGGCATGGCGCAGCCCCTGTGGCTGCAGACTCACCCCCCGCTCAAAGTCATACTCGTAGTAGGACAGCTTGCTCTCCGTCAGCAGGAACAGGCGCTTCTTGAAGTTGAGGGGAGATGTTTTCTTTTTCTGCTGTGAGCGCTTCAAGAAGATGCTCTCCAGGATGACACTGGCCATGTCAACCCCCTGGTCTCTCCTGTGCTGCACTCACCAGGTTGCTGTGGACAAGACAATGCTGACACGGTGCTTGCTCAGCCCAAAGCCTGCTGGACCTCGCTCAGGTGCACTCTCCCCCTTGCCCCAAGGGCAGACAGGGGGTGTTGGGACCCCCACAGCAGGAGCAACCAGCCGCAGAGGTGTGAGGGCAGGTCAGTGTGGGTGGTTTGTGATGTGACCTCTCCTGGCCCCTCTCACCAGCCTGCAGACAAAGCCACCACCCGGATGGCCCCTACTCCTGCTGAAGAGGCCCCCAGGATATGCAAGATGGACAGAGAGAGCTGGGGAAAGAGGGAAAAGGGGGAAGCCTGGAGCCCCAGAGAGGAGAACGGAGCCGGCTGTGACACCCCGCAGGCGCTCCTCCCCTCCAGCTCTGTGCATGTGAGTTTGTGTGGGCTGTTTCCTCCTGCCCCACCGCAGCCACTTTGTGCTGGGGACGTGCTGATTTGTCAGAGTGCAAGGGGTGGCCACGGGAGACCAATCCCTAAAAAGCCATGGGTAGGTCCTGACCCTGAAAAGTCACAGTGCAGTGCTGCTGAGAGCACGGAGTAGCCCCAGAGTCATCCTTCCCCTGTGTGTCCATGGAGCCCGCAGGAGTGCAGGGATGGAGCTCAACCACACTTCCTCCCCTGTGAGCAGCACTTGTCAGTGGCCAGGCTTGAAGGGCTGCCTCCAGCCAGCAGGCAGAGAGGTTAAATCCTCCCCCAGCCATCAGCAAAGCTCCCCTGAGCCTCTCCAGGGCAGGGCAGGGCAGGGCAGGGCAGGAAAGTGCTCACGAGAGCTCTGCATCCCACTGCTGCCTGGCCTTTAGGGGCTGGAAATTCCCTTGGCCCATCCTTGGAGCAGCCCGTGTATTTCATGGTGTACTCAGGAACTGTGACCCCCAGGTGGGCCCCCAGAGCCACGTGGCTGGAGCTGTGGGCTGTGACCAGCACCTGACTGCAGTCTGGGGAGCTAATGAGTGAGCTGTGTGGAACCACTGCTGAGCTGGGATCCCCTGGAGCCTGGCTCCATGTCTCCTGCCTGACCACCTACAGTCTGTGCTTCCCCTTCACCCACACCTTGTTCCCTTTTTTTCCTCTTATAAGCACAGCTTTGGAAAGCAACCTGGGAGAAGCTGTTTTTCTCTCCTGCTCCCCACAGCTCATCTCCTCAGGGGGAGGCTCAGAGGTGGGCCAGAGTTAGGGGTTCAGCCCCCCATTCCCCAGCTGAGTATTCCATCCACTCTCCCCACACAGGAGGTGGGCATTGGCTCGCTCACAACAGGGGTCAGGTGGGGAACAAAGATGCCAGGAGCCAGTCCCATACACTGTGCCTCTCTCCAGGGCATGCCCCAGCATGGGGATGAGGAGCAGAGGTGTTTTCCCACCTGCTGGCAGTGCCCACAGCACTGGGGACAAGCAGAATTCCCTCTCCCAGGCTTCCCTCTTCCCTCCTTGTGACTCTTACGGCTCAGACTTTTCCAGCTTGTTTGGGTGGTCAAAAAAAAAGCCCCCAACTTAAAAAATTAGTCATCAGTCTTCTGGAAAAAACAGCAGCCTGAGCATGCTGACTGAGGCCTCAGCAAGTGGGATCTGGGGTCCCTGCAGGTGGCTGGTGTGCCCCTGACCCCCAGACTGCTGGCAGGGTGGTGGATGAGCCCCAGGTGATCCCATAACCACCCTGTAGCCCTGTGCCTCATTTTCCCTACTTAGAAAGTGTGGCTGCTGATTCCCAAGAGCAGGAGGGCTCCTGTTGCCCTCCCTGGCACAGACACAGGAGCTGAGCAGAGGGGCCCTGGGCTCCAGCCCATCCCAACTGCAGTGCCGGGTCCCTGGAGCTTTCCCTGGAGTCACAGCAGCGGGGTCATGGCCAGCAGTGCCAGGCAGGTGGGACACATCCTCACTGTGTCCTCTGGATGGAACTGCCAGAGGGGAAAGGACAATGAGTGTCTCAGAGGGCTGTTGTGCCCCAGCACGGCTCAGCCTCCCTGTCCCCAGCACTGCCACCAGACCTGCTCTGTCCCTGCCTGTCCTCGGCGTGGTGGGTGCCCCACAGGGCTCACCCCCACAGCCACCACTGCTGTGCTGTGACAGCAGATGGGTGGGTGGAAGCAGGTCCTGTGTCCCATAGCTGGTGTGACTTCCTGCCGTGCTCACACCTCGGCTCAGCGTGCTCTGAGACCACCAGGCCCAGCACACACTGCTGGCCTCATGCCACTGGACACTGTGTCCCAGCATAGGAAGGGTGACAAAGTGTGAGTGACAAACTTCACAGCCCCCATGCTTCAGGTTGAACCCTGAGAGTGCCAAAAATGATGGGTGGGAGGGATAGAGGGGGGAAAACTCCTGCATGCGAGACTTGTAAGCAAACCCAGGGCTGCACCCCAGCAGCGCCCACAAAAAACACAGATGAGGAATGGCCAAAAACACTAGCAGAACCCCCAACCCCTGCTCTTGGCCACCCCTTGGGTCCCTGGCATCCACACACCACTGTGATTTCCTGCTCCAGCACAGCCTGCAGCCCCTGGCACCCCCACTCCGCCCCACAGCCCCATGGCCAGGTGACCGCGGTCAGATGCCACCTGCTTAGAACTGGTTAGGCTGTGGGACAAGGCAGAGCCCTCCCAGCTCGGCTCACCTGCCCCGTGTGTCCTGTGCCCAGCATGGCTGTCCTGTCCCCGAGGAGCTCAGCAGAGGTGTGAGGCCACCAGCACAGGCCACATGGAGGCTCCCGCCTCCCCTGCTGTCCCACAGCCACATCAGCCAGGCCCCACTGGTGCCCAGGAGCCCAGAGCCCAGTGCTGCCCCATGCCATGGCTCCATACTCACCGAGCCCTCCCGCCGCCGCTCCGGCCAGCCGGGGATCCTGCCGTGCCCACCCCGGCGGGTTGGGGTGGCTGTGGCAGCAGGGACGAGGAGAGGCGGTAGGGTGCTCAGGGAGGAAGGATGGGGCCGGCCAACCCCACCCTTTCGGTTCCCCTTTTTTAGTTTTCTGACTCAGAGGCAGCATTCGTGTTTCCTCCTGCAGAGAGCTGGGCTGTTGCCATGGGGTCACCAGGCCACCGGCCACAGGCCATGGCCAGAGCCTGCCTGGGCTGTGGGCAGTGCCAGGTGTTGGCTGAGTTGGCTGACCATTCTTATGTTGTCCCAAAATGGGTTCTTTCACCCCATGTACGTGAGGCTGATCCCCAAACAGAACCGAGGTATTTGGTTTATTCACAGTTCTGTGCAGAAAGAGGTCTTGGTGGCAAATTTACAAAGCCAGCAGAGTGACTATCTAAACTTTTCACTGTTTATACATTTTTGCAAATGAAAACATTAATCTTCATTGGCTACAGATGACATAATTCATTAGCATTCTAACTTGTACTGTTAAATGATTCCCTCGCTTCTTATGTTAATTAGGCCACATGTTCAGTCTTTCTCTTTGTTTGGGTTGGTGGTCCGTGGGTTGGTGTTGTGATCTCCCCATGCTGGAACCTCTCTTATCCACTCAGAGCTGATTCAGCACAGTTGTTGAGTTAGCTTTGCTAGTTACATCCTTGTCTTGAGAGTTCTGCCAATTGTTCTTGTGCTCCTAAATTCTGAATTCTCTGTGCACACTATCAGTGGTAAATCCTTCTTCCCAAGCCTTGTTAACTCCCAGCCAGGTCTGAGATCGCTGAAACTTATCAAGCCCTAAACCTTAACAAGACAACTCTGTTGACAGATAATTTGTCTTTGAAACACCTGGACGTCACCTGCAGGCGGCAGATCCCACAGGCCCCAGCCCGGTCACACCCAGGCCCACACCCAGCCCCCTGCCGCCATGGCTGCCGCTCTGCTCTCCTCCCACCGCCAGGGGGCGCCGTGCCCCGAGCTCCCCTGCGCTCTCCTCTCTATGGTCCCCAGCTCACATCCACTTCCGCTTCCGCCCCGCGCCTCCTCTCCGGGCTGCCGCTGCTGCCGAGATGGTGAGTGCGGGAGCTGGGCCGGGCTCCATCCGCCTGCATCCGCCTCGGGGCTGCGGCGGGCCGGGCTCCCTCCGCTGCCATGGGTGCGTGCTGGGCGGCCAGGCCGGTTCGGGGGCTTCCCCATCCCCGGATGGCAGCGCGGGGCCTGAGGGAAGGGGAAGGGCGGGAGCGGGGCCTTCGGAGCGGGATGTGGCGTATGCGCAGCGGCCCTGACAGACTTCTCTCCTTCTCCTCCAGGTGAACGTGCCCAAAACCCGCCGGACCTACTGCAAGAAGTGCGGGAAGCACCAGCCGCACAAGGTCACGCAGTACAAGAAGGGGAAGGATTCGCTCTACGCGCAGGGTGAGGACGGGCTCGCTCCGGAGAGCTGCGTGCGCTGCGGGTGTCGTGTGCCCTGCACGAGTGGTGTTGATTGGGAACATTTGTATGGCTGGGGAGGACAGCTTGACCTAAAGGATGTTGTGTACAATAAAGGGAACTAAAAAAGTAAGACAAAGGGAGGAAGCCTAAGGACTTGTCAACCCAGCGCAGTTTGGGATGGTTATCATATAGAAATGTTTAACTAATTAGAGAATGTGCTCTGGGTGAACCAAGCTGGCTGTGAAAGCACGACTCTGGAGCCCAAGCCTGCTGAGCACGGGCTGTGAGTTTACAATGTGCTGGGTGTTAAGTCAGGTGAAAGAAAGTGAATCTAATGGTAGCTCTGCCAGTAGTGATGTGCATTAATTATGCAAATATCACCTAAACAGGAGTGTATAAATGTTTTTGGCCCTTCGTGTGCTGGCTTTGAGGATTTACCATGCAGCACCCTTTTCTGCATAGAACTCTGAATAAATCAAGTCCTTTGACCTTGTGTGTCTGCTGGGTGCACAGCAAGGGAAATATTCCACTTTTGGGGATAGTACAAGAGCTGTGGCCATGGGCCAAGCACGAGGCTGCTGGAGGAGGGAGGCCCTTGTTCTGCTGGGATTTAGGAATTGCCAGTTGTGCTTGTAGCATCTCCTTGGTTGTTGCCTGACCTGAGCCGTTTTTTCCTGCAGGAAAGAGGCGCTATGACCGGAAGCAGAGTGGATATGGGGGCCAGACAAAGCCCATCTTCCGTAAAAAGGTGAGTGAGTGTTGTTCCTCAGGAACAGGAAACTTCCTTGGCAACCCACATAGCCAGCTGAGGGAGGATTCCTCAGTGCTCTGCTCTGGCTGTGTCTCTGTGCTGCTGTGCAGGCACCCCCTCCTCATCACAGAATGGGTTGGAAGGGACCTTAAAGGTCATCTTGTTCCCACCTTGCCAGAGGCAGGGCCACCTTCCACTATCCCAGGTTGTTCTGAGGCCCATCCAGTCTGGCCTTGGATACTTCCAGGGATGGGGCAGCCACAGCTTCTCTGGGCAACCTGTGCCAGACCTCTGTCAGTGTGAAGCCATTTCCCACTGCCCTGTCACTCTGTGCTCTTATGAAAAGTCCTTCTCCAGTTCCCTTGTAAACTCCCATCAAATACATGGCTCATCTCCTTGTTGTCCTGTCTCATGGAGATGCTCCTCATTTGTAGGGTGACTTGGGCTGTGTTTGCAGAGCAGGTTCTCAGCATTGATGCTGCAGGGGAGTGGGGTCTTTCTGGGAGGGACATCTGCAGTGAAAGGAATGTTTCTCACAGTGCTTGCCCAAGGGGAAGGGCTTGGCAAAGGGAAAGGAGCTGTCTGCTTGTTTGGTGTGGTATTTACAGTGGGGAAGCAGAACCCAGTGGGTGGATTTGTTACTTTGTGTGAATTGTTTAGTTATGGTCATAGAGCTGCTTGGCTAGTTGTTGGGAAGCCCTGGTGTCCTGCTGGAGGTGTACAGGAAACCTTCCAGCAAGAAGTAAAAAATAAGGCAGAAGGTTTTCAAGTTGACTTTGTGCCAGGAAGGGGGGAAAGAAAATGCTTCTGCAAGCAGGGTGCACTAAGCAGCTGCAGTGCTGGCACTCTCTACCTGTACATTGCAATTCGCATTTCTGTTTTTCCGTCAGCATTGTATGGATGACTACCTGAGGTTTTTAGCTGGTGGTTACAGCCCTGACCAGCTGCTACAGCAGCATCCCAGTTTTGGATTCTTTCCTCTGCAGTCTTCCAGGTTTCATCCAACTTCTGAGTAGCTGCAGGGCTGCATTGAGCCTGTTGTGTCACTACTGCTTCCAGAGAAAGTTTGCTGGTTGTGTTGCTTCCAGATATTTCTTTTTCCCAATTTTCTTCTGTATTTCTCCTGAGCACTGCTAGTCTGTGCTCCCACACCGCAAACGTACAAGTTTCTTGCTCTGTTCAGTGGAACAGACTTCTCCAGCATGGCTGATCCCTGCAGGAACCAACCCTGCCCTAGTGAATGCTTTAGCCAGCACCCTTTTTGTGGAGATACAGATCCACTTTACTCCTGTACTGATCTTTAAAGTGTCTTGTTTTCAGTGGAGCCTCACTGTGTTTGTAGTCTCTACACTTTGGGAACAAACCAAGTGTTCAGGAGTGCAGGGAACAAGCTCTCCCTGAGAGCAGCAATTTGTCTACTTGGGGATGTCTGGTTCATTGAAGCACCTTGCTCCTCCTCCCAGGCCAAGACCACCAAGAAGATTGTGCTGAGGCTGGAGTGTGTGGAGCCCAACTGCAGATCCAAGAGGATGCTGGCAATTAAGAGGTGCAAGCACTTTGAGCTGGGAGGAGACAAGAAGAGAAAGGTGAGTTTGTGTTCTGTGAGTGGCTGAGAAAGGGGGGCAATACCCTGTGGTGAATAAACTCACTCTTGTCTCTTGCTTCTTACAGGGCCAGGTGATCCAGTTCTGAGCATCATCCTACTCATCGTTACGGACCGTATTAAAGTAATTAGATTGATCCCTTGCTTTTTTAATGTGTTTTCTCTTGGGGTGGGAGCTGTGAGTACATCGACTCGGCAGGGAGGTGTTGCTTGCAGAACCATTTAACAGAACAGTTTTTGACCTGGCTTTTGAAAAATGCCTGCCAATGGCTGGGATCTCTTTACTGTGTTTCCAAGAGGTGTTTTGTAATGGGTTCCAGTGACCTCTCTGCCTGAACATGGTGCAGGCTCGTTTATGAACTCCCCTGAACAGTCCCTGCACTTGGCTGTAGGCCCCTTTTTATAAACTGCTGTCCTGCCTTGAGGAGCAATAGCCTTGGAGCAGCCAGTGGGTTTGGTACCTGCACCATTAGGCAGGTGCCTAATTCTAATTAGATCATTAGGCAGGTGCCTCTCAGCTGTGGCAGCTGAGAGGTGAGGGACAGCTCCGTGCCTGTGGTTGCCCCTGGCACATGGTGCAGCAGGCCTCAGCTGCCTTCCCCTGTGCTGTTGGCTTCTCTTAGCATTTTCCTTGAAGGAAGAAGGCCAAGCACAGCAGTGAAGTTTCAAATGGGCAACAACCAGAGTGTGGTAGATTGTGGGGATAGCTTCCCCTTAGAGAGGAACTTTTCTGTGAGTAGGAAGTCTGCTGGTAGCAGGTGCTGGGAATGCAATGCAGAGTTCATCCTTAAGGAAAACTTCCTTATAGTGGAAATGGAGCTGGAGGATGGAGAGATGCTTCTTCACATCTTCATGATTGAGAGCACGCAGTTACTGAATGTAGGGGAATCTGTTTTTGCTTATTAAATATTGGCTGATGTGATGGCCTATTCAGATTTGTATAGGCAGTGGTGGCTTTGGCCTGTGGTGTGGACTGTATGGCTGTATTATGTCAGCTTCACTGAGTGCTGTTTCTAGTAATCATCAGAAATTTCACAAAAACTTACAGAACTGGAACAAACCGACCTGGTTTCTAAACCATGTTTCAATTCCAGATATCATGCTGTACTCTTGTACACTGCAAGTAAGAAAAAACATAGCCTTTTAAAGGGATTTTAATCAAAGTGCTTAATCACAGAACAAATCAAGAAATCCTGATTGTATTGCAGTCAGAAGAGAATATACTTGCACATGATGGTTGCTTAAGTGATTATCCATCCTCCTGTCTTGGAAAGCCCATGTTACTTGACCTAAAGGCTCCTGCCAGCGGTGGGAAGCGAGCACACAGGGATTTCTGGGAGGCAGGATTCCTGGAGAAAGGGGACTGCAGTGGCCATATGAAGAGTGGAGAGGGAGTTGACATCTAAACTGAAGTGACAGCCACTGGTGAGAGATTCTTGGAATGAGGGGAAACCCTCAAAAACTTGAGTCCTAAGGCATGATAGCAGCTGTCAAGAAAGTTGCTGAGAAGTGCAATGGTTCATGTCAGTCCCTGAGTTGTCAGAAAATGGAAGTGTATGTCCATGCTCTGAGTGAAGTGTTGGGTTTCCTCAGCAGGGGTGGGAGCAGCTTTTCTTGGACTGTGTGCCCTAGTCTGAAAAAAGAGAGCAAGGTGGCCAGGGTGTGTTTCCCTATTGTCCCTGAAATGCTCAAAGACAGCTGTAAAATGCTGCCTGTGCAACCCTTGCCTTTCCTTGCTTGGTAGTGGCAGTGGGTGTAGACAGGAGTTGCTGCGCTGCTGGAGCCCTTCCATCCCCTTGGCGAAAGAGTTGGGTGAGATGCCAGGGAAAGGGACACTGCTCTGCTGTTTACCCTTTCTCTGTTACCTCTTGATGATGGAGTGATGGCTATTTGTCACATTAGGCTGAAGGTTCAGATAATGAATGCCTGAGAAAAAAGGCACCTGCTAGGAAGAAGGAGATTTTTTTCCTGCCACAAGTTCAGCAAGAGCCTGAGGCTTAGGAAAAGATTGTCTCTGTGCTGCCTATAGTGGCAGGACTTTGAGCAGCACTGTGCCTGTGGGGTTCACCTCCACGCTCAGGGAGGAGAGCCAGCTGTAAACGCCCCAGTCCCTGCTGGCTGGCAGCACCTGTCGGATGGAGCAGGCCGGATTGCAGGCCAGCCCATTGCCAAGGAGGGTGAGGGAGAAGGTGAAGTTCTGGGGTCCTCCAATCTCCTGATGGTTCAGCACCGCCACAGCGTAGGCTCGGCCAGACAGGGGCCGCTCCCACAGCTGAAAGTTCTTGTCCTGCCAAGGAGAAAACAAAGGCAGGGCTCAGGCTGTGGGAGGCTGAAGTGGTGATCTTCATACCTGTCTGTTCCAGCAGGCTTCAGGAACAAAGGGGTTCACTGGCCTCCTGTTCCCAAACCCTGAGCACCTCTCCATCCCATCTGTGCCCCACTCTGCAACCCCAGCCCGCTCCTGCTGTACCTTGACAAGCTGGTATCCCTGCTTGCCCAGTGGATCCTGGTTGATGGCGATCACATCTTTGTTCTGGAGCAGACACTTGGCCTCAGGACTGATGTGCCGCAGGTCGTTGGACATGAACAGGGGAGCGGCCATAATGGCCCACATGGCCATCTGAGTCACCGACTGGTCCCAGCTCAGCCCAAAGTTTCCAATCACCAACTATGACAAGCAAACAAAAAGTGCCTGGTAACGCTGCCTGCTGAGGAGAAACTGGGCCAGCAGAACCAGGAAATCAAAGGGTGGGACTTCTCTGGAGCCTGGCTAGATAGGCTGAGTGCCAGGGGCAGGACCAGCTGGTTGGAAAAAGCAAGGCATGACTGCGTGGCAATTTAGGATGAGTCCCTGGTGGAAGTGAAGAAAGCTCTTTAAGTGGCTAGGCAGTGTTGAAGAATGCTTTTGGATTCAGATCCTTGCAATGCATCTAGGGGTTTTCACTCTGGTGGGACATCAGCACTTGGGAGGCTGTCCCCCACACCTGTGTTCTGAGCTGGTACTGCTTGTGGAGGCTGCATGACACAAAGATGGTGCTTCCTTGGTACTATCCATAGATGCAGTTCTCTTTCCCTTTCTACCCTGGACCTTATCATTATGATTCTGATCCTAGGGTCCCATCAGAGTCCTGCCCCTCAGGGTTTCTCCCCTGCTTCTCTCCCTTCCCATTCTTGGCCCACAGCTGAGGGAAGGTTTTTTTGCTGATGCTTCAAGTGGGGTGGGTGTTGCTGTACTTGCCATGTCAGGATCATTCCAGCCGCCTGGCCCAGCTATCTTCACAATGGTGTCCTGGTGAAGTGCTGTCCAGTCTAAGATACTCTTGATACTGCTCCAGGAGTCATAGACATCATAGAAGTTCCTCCAGTGGTTGCAGTACTGCTTGATCTCTGTGTAATTGGGCTGCCAGAACAATGAGTGTGGTTAGACAGAGCACCTGACTGTACAGGAGTGTCAGCAAGGCTAGACTGGACCAAAGGTAGCTTGGGGGAGAACCAGGATAACAGCTTGTATCCCCATCTGGATGATCCAGTGCATGTCGATTCCCTTGAATGCTTTGTGCCCAGTAACTCCACTCTTGAGACATGGTCCAGACATTACTGCTCCCCTAGGGAGAACTGTTGTGACCACCAGTTCTGTTAAAAAATTTTACTGAAGGTGTGACAAAGCCAGTGGGATTAAACTGTAATATCCCAGTAATTATTGCTATTTCTCGGGTTTACACCCTTTGGTGAGTAATGCATTTAATTCCAGTAGGAGGGAATGGCACCATCCTGTCACAGTGGCACAGAAGCCAGCTGTGGGTGGAGGGCAAGGTGTCAGCCACAGACCCTGGCTGGCAGAAATCTGTCACTGAACAATGTGGAGGATGTCACAAAACCTCTTGGGGTCCCCAGAGCTGTCTGTAAGGCTGAGCCTGCAGCATTCTGTGTCCAGGAGGAGTTACACTGAGCTATCTGCTAGGCTGTGTGTCTGCACTGCCAATGGTTTGCTGCTTAGCTCCTCAGAGAGGAAGCAAGATGGATGCTGTGGTTTTTTTGGCACACTCCATCTGGGCTGATGATCATGCTGCAGGATCCTACTGAATCTGTTTCAGCAGAGCAATGGTTCAGGAATGCTTCAGGGCTCTGGAAGAAAAAGTTTTTTCCTCCATTTTACAGCCTTGTTCCCTGTCAGAATGGAGAGCAGCAAGTTTCTCAGGATGCTGTTTTGCAATCTCAAATGTTTTTCTATTTTTCCCACTTGAGCCCCAGGATAAACCTTGGGAGGCACTTCTTACCTGCTGCACAGGCCTCAAGTAGAAAGGCCACTCGCAGGAGTACACAATGCTCCTTCCAGTCCTGTTCAGGGCCAGAGACATGCGCCTGTATCCTAAAGGAAGAGCACAGACAGAGGTTGCACAATCTCCTTGGTCACACAGCTGAACTAGTCCAAGACAGGTTCAGGTTTCAGTTCAACTCTTGCAAAATAAAGATTGAACGCATTTTTGTGGTTGAGATACCACAGGGAGGACATTAAAGTCTGCTGTTGGCCACCTGCCTCCCAAGGACGGGAGCTTTGCTTGGGCAGGCTGTTGCTCCAAAACTGCTGATCCCTTTGTACATACAGCCAGAGGAAGAGGTTAAAAGCTTTCCTCTATGGCATTTTTCCTCTAGGTACCCAGGAAACACAAGTCAGTATCTATCAAGCAGTGCAGCTTTGCTGGGTAATGTAGGAGTACGTTCTCATGAGGCACTTGCGCCATATGGACTGGGCAGGAATGCAAAAGCTCTAGTTTTTCCTGTCCTTGTCCCCAAACAGCCCTGTTAAGTCCCTTCCAATTGGCAGAGAGGAAATGAAGTCTGCTGTTTCCTCTGGAACTGCTTTAGTACAACTGGACTGTATCTGGGTTACACATATGATCCAACAGGAGCTCTCAGCTCAGCTGTCACTCAGGGTGCTGAGCTGTGCTCCTGTCTGTGGCAGTTGGCATATGCCCCACCATCTGCTTTGTGGGATTGTCACTTGGGCAGGTTCTCCCTGCCAGGCAGAGACAGGACTTTGTGCAGGATTCCTGCTGCCAAGCATGGTGGTGCTGATTGTGCCAGCAGCCAGAGAACCCAGTCAAGAGAAAAAAAGCTCTCCAAGTTAAAGTGTTCT